AGGCGCGCATTAGAGAAGACCTTGGTGACTTCCTTGATGGTAGTAAGGTCGAAGGAGAGGAGTGTGGAGGGGGCTTCAGTGTGAGGAATGTTAGGTGGGGTGGAGGTCAGAACAGTGGTGAGGGAGAGGGGTGATGAGCGGGTTGCTGTGTGAGAAGGGACGGGATAAGGATATGTCCGGGGGCCTGGGTTCCATCCTCTTGAATCCCTAAGTCCTTCAGTGGTTGGTAATCATGCTTGTGGTTCTGCTCTATTGTGTGGATGGCCTGGCCTGGTAGATGTTGTTGCGCATGTGGAAGACCCTTTGGCTAAAGCATTGATCTGCAGAAAATCTGTGCAAAAAAACAACTGGTAATTAAGCTCTTCAAGGGCAAACGCCTCTTTGGTACAGCCCCTGACAAGTTTATTCATGGTATCATGGATGGAAAAAAGCACCTTTTTGCCCCAGCAAAATTCATTAATTCCGTGCAACAAAAGAGTTTTTTGTCATCCCCAGAGGCTTCAAAATACAAGCCTGGGATGCAGTTCTTTTGCAAGCCCTAGACCAAGGGTATCCAAACTTTCCAAGCCAGGGGCCAGTTTACTGACCTCCAGGCTTTAGGAGGGCTGGACTGTGGTCAGTGGGAGTAGAAAATGCCCTGGCACCAGTGCACCATCGTTGGTTTTAATGGGAGGACTATTGTCCCATTGTTGATATCAATGAGGTGAATAGTGCCCCGTTGATGGTGTCCGTAGGAGGAATGGTGCCCCATCATTGGTGTCAGTTGGTGGATTAGTGCTGTAAGGACCAGATAAAGGCAAGAAAAGGGCCACATCCAGCCCTTGGCCGCAGTATGGAAAATGCTGCCCTAGACTAAAATTTTGCCTGGAGCAAAGTTCTCCTCACAATGAATGGATGCCCAAATTTGTCAGAGGGGGGAACACCTGATGGCCTTTGTGACCACCTGGACCTAGGATATTCCAGAGGTTTGGGTCCAGAGCATGGTTATCATGGGCTACCAAATAGAGTTTAATGCTCTTTTCCAACCACTTCCTGTAATTAAACCTCACTACATCCCTCAAAAAGACTGACAGATCCCCACACTCAGGTGGCTCTGGTGTAGCTTTGTCTGAAGGGTAGTGGTTCTGGTCCTATAAGAGAAAATGTTTCAGAGTTTTTACTCAAACCTATTTACATTGCCAAAGCCCAATGGCAGCTATCACTCCATTCTGCATATGTAGGTTCTCTACACATTCAATCGAATTCAGAAGTTCTATATAAAATCTTCCTGGTCAGTAATTGCCTCTGTACAATAGTGGACCTTTCTGGCTTCAGCAGACATCTAGGATACCTATTTGTATGTTCCCATCTTTCCTGCATTTTGAAGTAGGCTCGCAGCATTTTCAGTTCATTGCCCTTCCCGTTGGCTTGTCCACCATACCACAAGTTTTCACCAAGGTACTAGCCGCTGTCCTTGTCTTTGTTCATGCCTGGGACATCTCCATAGTGGGGTATCTGGATGACCTTCACTTGAGGGAACAACCATTTGGTTCTGCCTGTCAGTTTCAAAGTGTTAATATGCTGTAGCTATTCAAGTAGATCCTGAACCTCCAGAACTCTGCACTAGAACAGACTTATCACTTCGAGTACCTGGGCCTCTCCTGGACAACTCCCTGTTCAAGATTTACTTTACACAGAACAAGGTCCAAATCCTCCCTCCTCTCCCATGTTTGGACACTTTAGTTCCTGATCCAATCAGCCCTTCATCTTTCCATGATGTTTCCGAAGTTAATAGTGGCCTCTTTCAAGGCAGTCCCTTATGACCAATTTCACTCAAGACTGTTGCTTCTCAACATTCTTGCTGTGTGAGACAAAGCAGGCATGGTATCTGGACAAACACATTTGCTTGCAACTCAGGGCCTGCTTTCCGTTGCTTAGTGGGTCACAAGTCCAGCTCTGGAGTGAGGGAAGGCTATCCACAACTGTTCTAGGAGGTCCTCCTCATGGATGCTAGCCTGTGGGGCTGGTAAGGAGTCCTAGACTTTTTCTCCGTACAAGGGACTTAGTCACCGAAGGAAATTTGTCTCTTGATCGGCATTCTGGAACTTAGAGCGATTCGCTTATCTCTTCAGTGCTTGACCACTCGACTCTAAGGTCATCCAATTAGGAATCAGTCGGACAATGGCACAGTGGTGGCTTCCATTGATCACCAGAGGGATACAAAATGTCTCACAGATCAAAGAGGGTAGGATAAAGTTCTGGCTTGGGCGGAAGTGCATGTACCAGCTCAGTTTGCTGTGCACATTCCTGGCACAGAAAATTGGCAGGCGTACTTCCTCAGTCATCAACTGGAGAGTAGTCTCTTCATCCAGGGATGTTTCAAGGCCTGTTACAGACAAGGGACATGGACTTCTTGGCTTCCAGGGTCAACAAACTGGGAAGGTTAGTTTCTTGGCCTTCGCAGTGCACTCCTTGGTGACTCTGTGGGATCACTTTAACCTTATTTATGGCTTTACCCCTCTGTGGAACCTTATCTGCTCCACAATATCAAGATGTTGGGCATTCCAAGATTTCTTATCATACCCAACTGGCCGAGGCAGACGTGGTACTTGGACCTCGTTAGACTTCTGGCAGGCTCTCCCTGGGCCCTTCCAGATCGTCTGGATCTTCTGCCCAAGGGCCAGTTTACCTCCCTTTTTCAAGGTTGCTGGTTTTAATGGCCTGGTTGTTGAATCTGAATGATAAATTCTAAAATATAGGGGGGCTATCTGCTTCAGTTATTCCTATACTCTATATGGCTCTTGCAAGGTCTACCATCAGAGTTAAAAGATTGTTGTGCAAAGCAATAATTTTCTATCCCAGGAAGAACTCCATGGGACAAATCCTGGCTTTTCTCCAATCTGGTCTAGATCAACATTAGGCCTTGGTTACCAACAATGGACAAGTCTCGACCCTAATGATTCTCTTTCAAAAATCACTTACTTCTTCCTCCTTATTGAAAGCCGTCATACAGGTTATTGCCCACATTGTTACACCTTTACGTTCCCCTGTGTGCCCTTAAGACCTCAACCTGGATCTGCCATCTCTCCAGAAACTGCCTTTTGAGCCTTTTGGGGATATCTCCCTGTCTGCTCTCACTCACAAGGTTACCTTTCTTGTTGCTATCACTGCAGCACATCTTATCTTAGAGTTACCCTAAGTAACTAACCTTCCCTATAATGCATAGGGACAAAACAATGCCCTATTTATTATTCAAATTAAATATTAAACATTTTTTTAAGAACTGTTACCTTTTATTTTTTTAGAATATCAGTTGAAAGATCAGTTTAATGTAAATAACCTGTTCTCATATATTTATATGCATATGCTCTACATTTCTTGGCTGCGTACACTGCGATTAACTTTATATATATATATATTTTGCATTGCTTAGCTGTAAACACTGTAATGATTTCTATGCCAAATATTGGTCCACTATACAGTGTATGCTGTACATCATAATCTGCCATTGTACTAGACTGATTTTCGAAGCAGTGGCTTGAGTGTCCCAGGTGGTACTTCAAATATGTTTGGGAGTACTTCGTTTAATAGTTATTTCTATAGTGCAAAACTGGTATTGATTTGTATTTTAAGACCTTAAAAGAAAAAAACACAACTTTTATGCACTGGTAATAGATGTAATCAAATCAGTGACCGTTTGATGTTAGAAAACTCATACCGAGAGGGTACTGTTTGTTGTCAAATAGCCAGGATAAGGAGCTATAATTATTGTTAGAATTATTGTTGTTGAGGCAAGAGTTTGCTAGCTAATATGGAATGCAAAACTTTCTCTATCCAGGAAATGAATTTTCCCGCAGCAACAAGTTCAACGGTTCTCTTCCAGAGAGATGCATTTATTAGGTTACGGCACAGGACACAAGATACTTGAAACAGATGACAAAATCCAGCAGAGGATTTGTAAATATTACAATGAACAGCAGCCCTCAGAGTCCCATACTTCATATCAAGCATATAGACACTACACAATTCAGCATATGTTCAATCTATAACATGCACCTAGGTAGCTTCCATGCATGCAGTAATGTGTGTTATCTTTTAGGCTTGTGCCTCCATAATAATGTTGTGTCAGCAATCAAAAAAATCTTTTCTTGATATACAGTTTTTCCTCCCATCTGAAAATAGCTGATTGGCTGGTCAAGCATTTTTCATCCTACCTTAATAAGACCCAACTTCCATTTTACTGATAGCAACAATTAAGATTTACAATTAAGCTACAGTATCTACAACCTCCATTACCTAGGACAGTAAACAACTGAACATCTGACCAATTAACATTTTTCTCATTACAGATACCACTTGCATGTTGAGTAGAATTAGCATAGGAATATTCTGCCAGCTCTATCAATTTTAAGGTGTAAATGGACTTGTCACTGGTCTATGTATGTTCATTCAATATCTATCTATACACTCACATACACACACACATACATTTATATTTTACACACAACATACTACACTGTTAAGACAAAAGTGGCTGGTCATTGTTCCTTCTAGACTATTCCATGCTCTATGACACTCCTTATGCATTCAATATTTATATGTTGGATTACAGTGGACTGAACTGCTGCACACATTCTCTTTGTATATATTCTCCCTTCTTCTAGGCACCAAACTGAAATTAGGATCCCTACTGTGCCTATGATAGACCCACTTTGACTTGTGTTAAAAAACTGACATAATTGAAATCACACATTCTGGTTCAGTAAATCACTTTGAAGTGACTGGCTACTGACAGCTGTAAAATTTTGTCTACTCTAGTCTATTTGAGTGCCATTAAACGTCCATCAAATTGCACAGTACTCAAAGTTTTGCAGCTTCTAAGTAATGCATTATATAGGTGCTTACATTTGTAAGAGTAATGTTATGACTGTTAATAATGAAAAATTGGAAATTCATAGTCATGAATATAAAGGAAAATATGTAATGACAACTGACCAAATCTTTGCTATGCTACTTATCAGATTGAAAAGGACCTGCTTAGAACGATGCCCAGCAATGCCTGTTTCTCCAATCTGCAAAGTGTGGGGGTGCCTCGTCTCAGAAGGGTGCTGCGTGGACTGGCATGGTTGTACCCAGATATTGGGTATTGCCAAGGCACTGGCATGGTGAGATAGAAATTCTAATTAAGGCTTCCATCTCTGTGATTCTTTGTTTAAGAGATAGTTTGTTTTTTTTTCTCCTTAAACATTTAAATCCTCTTAAAGGTAATTTGATGGTTTGTTGTGAAAAAAAAATTATTTTTTAAGATTTATAAGTTTAAAACTTATGATTTTTGTTTTTTTTTTTTTACTAATTTTATTTCTATATTGTTTTCGACGGACCAGTCAGATCAGCCTTTCTTAGCCAGGGTGCCATCTAAGGTCATCAGTGGTCCTGCAACATCCTGCTTGAGGAAGGCTGTTCAAGCTGCTGCTCCTCCTTTGAACTGTGCATTGCCTCAGCAGGAGCTCGATAATGACAGTTGAAGTGCAGAGCAAGGAAGGGAGAGGCATCTTCCTGAGTCCTGTGTTCTCTTCCTCCCCCTACAGGGCGGTACTATGAAGTGCAGTACCCTGTAGTATGGTTTCAATTTTTAAAATGGCTGTAAGTATGTATGTGTGTGTGTGAGTGTATGTTTGCAGTTTTATACAGTACCTTGAAAACATATTCGTACCCCTTTAAATTTTCCACATTTTGTCATGTTACAACCAACATGGGATGATAGACCAACATAAAGTGACACATAACTGTGAAGTAGAAGGAAAATGATAAATGCTTTTCAAAATGTTTTACAAATATCTGAAAAGTGTGGCGTGCATTTGTATTCAGCCCCCTTTACTCTGATAACTCCTAACCAAAATCTAATGGAACCAATTGCCTTCAGTAGTCACCTAATTAGTAAATAGAGTCCACCTATGTGTAATTTAATCTCAGTATAAATACAGCTGTTCAGTGAAGCCCTCAGAGGTTTGTTAGAGAACGTTAGTGAACAAACAGCATCATGAAGGCCAAGGAACACACCAGACAGGTCAAGGATAAAGTTGTGGAAAAGTTTAAACCAGGGTTGGGTTATAAAAAAAATATCCCAAGCTTTAGACATCTCACGGAGGACTGTTCAATCCATCATCCAAAAATGGAAAGAGTATGGCACAACTGCAAACCTACCAAGACGTGGTCGTCCACCTAAACTAACAGGCCAGGCAAGGAGAGCATTCATCAGAGAAGCAGCCAAGAGGCCCATGGTAACTCTGGAGACGTGGCCGTACTTGCAGACACTTGCAGCTGTAATTGCAACAAAAGGTGGTTCTACAATGTATTGACTCGGGGGCTGAACACAAATGCACCCCACACTTTTCACATATTTATTTTGAAAACCATTTTTAAAAACCAGTTATTATTTTCCTTCCACTTCACAATTATGTGCCACTTTGTGTTGGTCTATCACATATAATGCCAATAAATACGTTTTTGGTTGTAACATAACAAAATGTGGAAAATTCCAAGGGGTTCGAATTCTTTATATGTGTGTATAAACTTTATGTATGTTTATATGCATTTGTATATACGCTCACTGGCCACTTTATTAGGTACACAACACCTTCTAGTACCAGGTTGGACCCCCTTTTGCCTTCAGAACTGCCTTATTTCTTTGTGGAATAGGTTCAACAAGGTGTTGGAAACATTCCTCAGATCATTGCAGTTGCTGCAGATTTGTCAGCTGTACATCCATGATGCGAATCTCTCATTCCACCACACCCCAAAGGTGCTCTATTGGATTGAGATTTGGTGACAATGGAGGCCACTGGGGTACAGTGCACTTATTGTCATGTTTAAGAAACCATTTTGAGATAATGTGAGCTTTGTGACATGGTGCATTATCCTGCTGAAAGTAGGTACACTGTAGTCATAAAGGGATGGACATGGTCAGCAACAATACTACGTAGTACGATACTCAACTGTACTAACGGGCCCAAAGTTTAACAAAAATATCTCCCACATTATTACACCATCAGCAGCCTGAACCGTTGATACAAGGCAGAATGGATCCACTTCTTTCTTTCATGTTGTTTACGCCAAAGTCTGACCCCACCATCTGAATTTTGCAGTTTAAATCGAAACTCACCAGACTTTTTTTGTCCAATTTTGGTGAGCCTGTGCGAATTGTAGCCTCCGTTTCCTGTTCTTGGCTGACAGGAGTGGCAGTCGGTGTGGTCTTATGCTGCTGTAGCCCATCTGCTTCAAGGTTCGATGTGTTATGTATTCAGAGATGGTATTCTGCATACCTTGATGGTAATGAGTGGTTATTTGAGTCACTGTTGCCTTTTATATCACCCTCGAACCAGTCTGTCCATTCTTCTCTGACCTCTGACATCAACAAGGCATTTTCGTCCACACCACTGCCACTCACTGGATCTTTTCTCTTTTTCGGACCATTCTCTGTAAACCAAGAGATTGTGAGAGAAAAATCCCAGTAGATAAGCAGTTTTTTTAAATACTCAAACCAGCCCACTTGGTACCAACAACCATGCCACGTTCAAATTCACTTAAATACCCTTTCTTTCCCATTCTGATGCTCTGTTTGAACCTAAGCAAGTTGTCTTCACCACGTTTAGATGCCTAAATGCATTGAGTTTCTGCCATTTGATTTGACTGACTAGCAATCTGTGTTACCAAGCAATTGAACAGGTGTACCTAATAAATTGGCCAGTGAGTGTATGTTACTTTTAAACCTGACCCCTAATCCCATACAATCAGAACCGCTTTTTTTACGGCTTGTTCACAATAGTGGCTAGGAATGCCATTTCTCTGAAAAGCGATCCATCTTTGGATCATTTTCAGAGATGTGTGACTGGTGGCAAAGAGGTAATGTGTTGACTTATCATGGCCTGTTTTAGCTCCCTAAGTTCAGTACCACCTTGCAATAAAACAGAGTTGCAGATAGCCCCACACATCTGGATACATACCTCTTGCCGCTGCCATAGCATGTGTATGACCCTGGCTGCTGCCTTTGCAGCTAAAGGGGTAGAATTTGGGGTTGGTAAATACAAAGTTGCTAACCTGCATGGTTTGACCATCCCCCAACCTCATGTGTGAAGGAGCCCTTGAATGTAGGTTAGCCCATTCTATTCAATGGGCTGCCCTACCCACAGAAACACCATGTTTGCCAGTGTGTGGGAGTACCATTAAGAATTAATAGCACACCTGCGCGTCTGGCATAGTGCGTCTGTGTTTCAGTAACATGCATGCTTTGGCGTGTGTTCTGACACACAGTAATCTGAACCAAGCTTTGGAATATGTTGCTCCGAGACTAAAAATGCTTTTCATGGGTTGAAAAAGACTGAAATTGATTACGGAAATCAGTGTGTTTAGTGCCCCTTGTAAGAGGAGGAAGCTAGATGGCCCAGGAGGTTTTTGCCATGGCTTTTTGGGTTTGTCTCTAGGCGATGTATAGTGATTGTGTCTAGGCCAGGGGTGGGCAAACTTTTTGACTTGAGGGCCGCAATGGGTTCATATATTGGACCCAGGGGCCGGACCAAGAGTAGATAAATTATGTGTATATGTCATCCATAGTAAGTATAGTAATATTCCCCCATAGTAAGCATAGTAATTAATCCCCCATATAGTAATTCATCCCCCCTATAGTAATTCATCCCCCCTATAGTAATTCATCCCCATATAGTAATTCATCCCCCATAGTAATTCATCCCCCATATAGTAATTCATCCCCCATAGTAATTCATCCCCCCATATAGTAATTCATCCCCCATAGTAATTCATCCCCCATATAGTAATTCATCCCCCATATAGTAATTCATCCCCCCTATAGTAATTCATCCCCCATATAGTAATTCATCCCCCATAGTAATTCATCCCCCATAGTAATTCATCCCCCATAGTAATTCATCCCCCATATAGTAATTCATCCCCCATATAGTAATTCATCCCCCATATAGTAATTCATCCCCCATATAGTAATTCATCCCCATAGTAATTCATCCCCCATATAGTAATTCATCCCCCATATAGTAATTCATCCCCCATATAGTAATTCATCCCCCATATAGTAATTCATCCCCCATAGTAATTCATCCCCCATATAGTAATTCATCCCCCATAGTAATTCATCCCCCATATAGTAATTCATCCCCCATATAGTAATTCATTCCCCATATTAATTCATCCCCCATATTAAGTCCCCCCTGTGTCAATTCACTTACCTTTGCTCCGCGCGTTCCTCTCGCCGTGTCCCGCGCCGTTCCGGTGTAGCATGAAAATCTGTCTCCTATGAGGATCTGTCCCCCTCGACGTATCTGCGCATGTGCCAGTTTCAGGCATTAGCAGCCGATCGGCGATCTCCGGCACATGCGCAGATACGTCGAGGAGACAGATTTTCATGCTACACCGGTCTTCAGGGCGGACTGAGAGGGGAGCCTAGCTCCGCGGGCCAGATTAAAAGGTCCGCCGGGCCGTATACGGCCCGCGGGCCGTAGTTTGCCCATTGCTGGTCTAGGCAAACTATGGTGATTGTGTCTAGGGATGCCTTTTGTTGCTGCTGTGGTCTTTACTTGGGTTTGGGTGTAGACTTCTTCATTTCTGTGGCTACTACTGTAGGCTGCCACTGCCATTTTGGCTGTGGGCATTATACCATTTTCTTGTATGCAGGCTGTGGCCACTATTTTGTTTGTGACCAGGTTACTACAGCAGCCATTTTGTTGAAGTCCAAGTTGCCCTTTCCGTCCTTAGTCCTTAGGCACTTTTTTTCACCCCAGAACTTCAGTTTAGAGGGTGAGTTGAACCTAGGTAAATACCTCACTACTGCTTGAAAGTGGGTATAGAGGATTATTCTGCATAGATAGCAATGTACCTTTTTGCTTAAAGGGACATACTATCTGCTGTGCAATTCTGACTGGTGGCAACATGTCTAACACAAGAAAGAGACCACTGTGGTCAGTCAAATTTAGCAGAACTCTTTTTCTGTATGCACCAGCTGCTGCAATTTTAAGTTTAATGGCACTAACGTGATCAAGATTACAGCACTGCTTGTATTATGCTGAATAAAATAGTAAAATATATCACTGGTGTCGAGGATTTATTCCTGGCTTGCAGATAAAGAACTCAGGCACAA